CACAATAATAGGGCTTAAGTTTTGACTAAGTCTGATTATTTTAAAATGTGTTTCCATTCTGTTAGCACAATAATAGGTCCACTCTTGCTGTCATGGTCAGTTAGTCTTATCTTTCTGTTAGTGCCTAAAAAGTAGGGATATTTGGTTATTTCTTTGTATTCCAGCATTATAAATATGCTAGTCCATCCTCCTGGAAGGATATCAGTTTATCAATATATTTCATAGCATCGGAGATACTCCTTGGCTTCTATTACCTCTTCTCAGTGAGATTCTTATTGTGAGAGGGTTAGGAGAGAATTCATTCTTCAGTTTCAATCTTTCATTTTTCATAATACCGTCCTGCTCCTATCATTTTGGTATCAGAGCCTCGTTCTAACCAATATGGTTATCACACGCTCCTCTAATACTAACTCCAATCCAGAAGATAATCAGGAAAATCCCTTTGGTAAGGATCCTCTGGCAACCATTGCCTCTCGATTGGCAGCTTTAGATGTTTTACAAGAAAAGGTGACGGCTCTGGAAGCAAATTCATCTCGCCGTAATAGTGGAAAAGGGAAACAGCGCAATCGCGCAGATGATAGCGATGAGGAATATGAATCATCTCGGCGTGCTTCGAGGCTACCACATGCAAAACTGGAATTCCCAAAATTTACAGGAGGCGACCCAAGAGGATGGGTCCTCAAAGCAGAGAAGTATTTCCGTTACTATGACGTTCCAGAGGATGATAAGGTGGATGTGGCTTCCATGTACCTTGAAGGGGATGCTTTGGACCTGTTTTCATGGATGAGCACTGAGAGAACGTTGTTTTATTGGGAAGATTTGGTGAAGGCATTCCAGGAACACTATGGTCCACCGGAGTATCAAAATCCAGACGAATACCTTTGTAGTATCAAACAAAGTGGTACTGTGACTGAGTACCGCTTAGAGTTTGCAAGAAGGGCATCTCGAGTTGAAAGATGGCCTGAGCACTGCCTTCTAGGGGTTTTCATCAACGGCCTCAAGGAAGAATTGCAACCAGATGTTCGGCTTCACAAGCCACAAACTGTGTATAGGGCTGCAAGTCTTGCCCTGGAGTTTGAGAGAAAGCAACCTTCGAGTCGAGGGTCCAGATCTAATGCTGCTTTTGGCCCAAATCGCAGCAACCCACTTTACCCTCAAAATTATTCAACACGTGAACAGAAAGGAAGTATACTGTCGTCATCGGACCATCAAAAAACATTGCCTTCGTCTTCACCCTCTTTGACGACACCTACCAGGAGCTCATTCATGGAGTCCGAACGACAACACCGACGCGAAAAGGGATTATGTTTCCGATGTGGCGACCCATTCAGGCCTGGTCATCGCTGCTCCAGTTCTTTCTCCCTCATGGAAATTGACGACGAGGGAAATCCAGTGCAGGAGAAGTTGGATTCTGTGGAAGAGCAAGAAGTTGAAACCTTAGAGGAGGCCGAGATCTCATTCAATGCCATTCTGGGACGACCTACA